ACATGCTGTTCTAATTAATGAGCTGGTGGCATTGAAAAAGAATCTCAAACATAGCTGGGCAGACAGGGGGTGGAGGGGGAAATTACCCCCCTCTGAGGCATCAAATTTCGGCAATACCCCTTTAAAAATTAGACGAAATTTCAATTACCCCTTTACGAATTTACTCTTTCCGAGAAGGTGTTTGCACTAGACAGAATGGACTTTTGGGAAAATTCTTTTGATTTGCTAGGGTTTTTAGGAATAAAATTCTTTAGATTTGGTAGAGTTTTTAATGAGAAAAATCGTCCAATTTACAAGGGATTTTGAAGGACAATTCTCCCCTCGGTCATAAATTTTGATCCGGATGGAATAAAAAAACTCCTTATTTTTACACTAAAAGCTATATTTACCCCCTCATAATTTTTGAAAAGTTTGAAATTACATGATTACACATGTGGTAAGGAAACGATAATAAAATGTTAAATTTAAAAAATATGCACGAGAAAGTGGCTGTATTTTATATGGTTGTTTTTGCGATGAACGTTCACGAAGGTAACCTTCGCGATATAAATTATCACAACGAAATTTTATGAGATAGAAAGTAATAGAAATATTTATAAAAGAGGATCCGTGTATTATTCGTCTGTCAGTAATATTTGTATTTTATTCAAACGATCATTCCATTAAGTTATTTTGTACATATTTTGTGCAATTTTTTCGTAATGGAAATCAAGTGCTTATTTTTTTCATTATTTGTTGGCCTTGCTTGTAGAGTAAGCGCACTACCTACAACAGGTATGTTCTAAACATAAAACTATTTTTCAAGTTCATTTGTCGGTAAAGATGCCCAAATTGATTCGTTGATACTTAAAAAAAAATCTCAAATTCACACTCTCGTTACGCAATATTTAATTAATTCATCGTATCAATTTTAAATTATTTCATTTGAATGATAATGCACAATGATATGGTGGAAAATAATCAGTAGAATGTTCATATTTTCTATCAAATTTGCAGATAATTTGAGTGAGGTTGAATTATCGCCTGTCAGGTAAAGAAAAATTAAGTAAACCATCTCTTTTAAATTGAAAATTTTCAAAAATATTATAAAACATCATTCTTGATGCGTCGATTTATGGAAAGATTATCAAAAAACTTTCGCATTTTACGAAAATGACATCAGTAATTTTGTTTAAAGATTTCTTAACTTTCATTGAATATTTGAATTGAAAATCTTCCACTTCATTCATTGTTTTTTTTTTATTAATTTTTGCATGAAAAATAAAGAGAACCTATTAAAATGTTGAACGATTTCTTACATAGACAAGACGAAAATTATCTCTTTTCAAACCAAAGCATTGAACAAAAATCCGAAGATCATGAGTCATACACTGGTGAGTTTTCTTCAAATTATTTTATTAAAAAAATATTCAAAAAAAAGGTGAATCACTCAAAATCTGTTGTTTTCAAAGAAAGCAGTACTGTTGATCAAACTGAGTATTATTATGATGATCTAACAACCGACTTGACATTCGATAATGAAGAAAGCACGGATAGAAACCAAGGTAAGTCGCATTAAATGTCCACAAAAATCCAATATTGTTCGCCAGAGACATTTTTAGAGATTTGTTTTCATTTTGCACATTGAATGGTGTAAATTTAATAAAAAAACTATTATTTAGATTATACTAAAAATTCAATCAATGAGGAGACAGAAAAATCCGAGGAGCATGAGTCATACACTGGTGAGTTTTCGTCAAATTTTTTGAGTCTTTTTTTAATTAAAAAAGTCAATAAATGGTGAATGTCTCCAATTCTGTTGGTTTAGAAGAAACCAGTACTGTTGATCAAAGCGAGAATTATTCATCGACACCATTCATGAGCGATGATGATCTAATCACCGAATTGACATTAGATAATGAAAAAAGCACGGATAGAAATCAAGGTAAGTCGCATTGAGCGTCCATAAAATAGCATCAATTATTGTTCATCACAGAATGGTTTGATGATTTGTTATCATTTTATGCATTGAATTTTGCAAATTTAATACAAAATGATATTATTTAGATTATAATGAGATGACAACAGAGAACGAGGCTAAAGATGACAACACGAAAGATTTGATTTTGGAGGCCATTTCAAATGGTGAGTTTTAATCGCTCAACCAATTTAAGGCGTCAATATTGATTCTCTTCACTACTTTATCAATCAGATGACGAAAATCAAACGAAAACCTTAATTGAACAGTTGAATGGGAACTTCTATGGAAGTTATGATATAACCTGGCTAGCCAAAGCTGCTCAACAATGTAATATTAAAAGCTTTTGATACAAACTTTTAATAAGAAGTTGATTTAAATGTATCTCTCGTACCACGTTTAGGTAAACCGAAAGTTGCCAAAATGTTAATTGAAAACGGAGTTAGTGTTGACATCACCGATGAAGACAATTGGCCAATTATTACTGTAGCCAGTTACTATGGTAAATAGTTTGTATTTTAGAAATATTAAGCAAATAGATAAATATTTCAATACTCATTTATTTTAACAGCCTGTGAAGATGTAGCCAAAATACTTATTGAGAACGGTGCTTATATTAATGCCAGAACTGGAAGTGGGTATTCATCACTTCATTTGGCCGCACGAGAAGGTACTCTTTAACATATTGAAATTGAATGAATAATCGGAATTGATGTCATTTACTCATTCTATTAGGTAATGCTCAAATCGTTAAACTTCTTATCAAAAATGGAGCTGATGTTACCATGAGAGATTTCGGCTACTTCGAAAGAACTCCCAGAGTATTGGCCGAGATGAATGGTTGGTTTAGTGAAAACATTATTAAAAATACACATACCAATACATTAAAATAAATTGATCATTCGTTTAAATTCATTTGTTCAACGCTTTAGGTCACTGGGATGTCGTAAATATATTAAAGGAAGTCGAGCTCAACAAGAATAACGCGATAGATTCAATTATGGAGGCACTTTTGAAAGGTGAGTTCAAATGGACCACTTTAATTTAATCGGTATTGATTTTATTTCTTTCAATTAGATGATGCAAACCAAACAAAAACTTTAATCGAACAGTTCAACGGTAACTTCAATGGAAGCGACGACATCATTTGGCTGGGCATGGCTTCTGAAAAATGTAATTCTTAAATCTTTTCATTCGAACTATTCATATGAAATTGATTTTAATTGGGAGACATTTTCTGTCTTACCACGTATAGGTAAATTGAATGTGGCCAAAATGTTAATTGAAAATGGAGTTAGTGTTGAAGTCCATAAAAAAGATGAATGGCATCCACTCCACATAGCTGCTTACAATGGTAATTTGCTTTGAAAGTATGAAGTGATAATTATTCACATTGGATTTTTTTTTTCAAAGGATGTGATAAAGAAGCAAAACTACTTATCGAAAATGGTGCTGATCTTAATATCAGGAACGGAATTGGACACTCATCGCTTCACATGGCGATAAAAAGACGTAAGTTTCTGTTAAATGAACATGAAAATATCCATTGAATTTAATGTCATCAACACAAATATTTAGGTAACTATGAAATCGCAGATTTACTCATTGAAAATGGAGCTGAAATTGACCGTGAAGATTCATGGTATTTAATATATGTCACCCCGGATAGTACAACAGAGCTAGCAACAGAGCCAGCAACCGAGAGTACAACTGAAAATGACTTAAACCAAAAAGTTGAAGAAAAT